TTCAACTTTCAATGGTTTCTTGTTACAAGTATTCTTCAACACAAGCGAAGTTCTAGAGGAATTTTTAAAGGATAGGTTTCGCTTATCCATGGTTCTTACCTTTTATTTGCGCAATGGATTTACTTATATTACTTTATATTATAATCCACAAGGCATATATTCCCATACTTTCCAAACATCATGCTCACATATGCTTTAGGAAATTGGGTTAGAACTGCAAAATTATGTGATTTGGTTGATGGGCTAAGAGACAGATCAGTACTTGGTGGCAACTAGCCAGTGAGCATGGTTATCTGAATGTGAAATTTCCGTTTTTATTTCCTTCCTTATAATCTAGTCAAATGATACCAACTTTCAAGCACATAGCATACTAAACTAGAAAAATTTATGAAGAATTATCCCTTTGCCGTCTCCCAAAGAAATTGAACCTTATTCATCAAAATGGGAGCAGACACAATTACCAACCAATCCACAAGCGTCAACTTTCTTACCCTCACCAATGCATCCTTCTCTTAAACGGCTTTGAATGGAAAATATGCCCATGCCCCAGTCCAAGGGGAACAAGCCCAGCCTAGATGTTTATATGCATGTATATACATATATTCAATGAAAGGATTCAATAAGTGCTTCCAGCTTGACTTTCCTTTCTTTCACAATAATAGTCATAAAAGCAGGGTAAAATCGATGCAAAGTTAGCAGATATTCTTATGCACAGTTTTGAGTCCTAACTCCTAACCCTTATTCCTTGGTCCCATGCTCATGTGTCTAATTAAATTGCAAATCCTGATCAGAGCCCACCAAGCACCATCCTCGTCCATTCTTTTTATCTAATTTGTCCTTTCTATTCATAATTTTTACATAAACAAAGCTTCCATCATCACCAAGACTTTTAACCACAACCATCTATGCTTGATTGGGTGGCTGCCTCTTGCTATTTGTCTTCTATCATTTTGCTCTTATTCAATGTTTGGGCGACTTTTGGGGCTTCAATTGCATAATTTAATTCCAATTTGCCTCCCCTCAAGTGTCCTTATGTCATATTTACTGGTCCCAGCTTTAATAACACATGAAATTCAAGACAAACCCAAAAAAAATAAAAAGAAGGAAAATTTTCTCTCTATAGATGTGAAAACAACACTATCTATGCAATAAATTCTTACAATCTTACACCGTACAAAATATTTTCAGTTTTAATTTTATAAAATCAAGTAATTTAATCATATAGATTACAACATAAAATTATGAAAATAGTATTATATATAAAAAAAATTGACTAATTTTTTCTTAGATTCATATTTTAAATTAGAAGATAAAGAATTCTGAAGTTCAAACACAAATGAAGCATGATTTCTTGCAAATTGGTAATTATTCTTGTTGATTACTTGACTTGTCTTTCCATGACTTTTTAAAGCCAATATTCTAATGAAAATCCCTTGTGGAGTTTTTGAAGGTGCAATGGTGATGTGTGGGTTAGGCGTGGAGGGTGGCATGAACCATGATAGAACAATGAGTTGAGGAGTGAGGTGGGTGCCTTCTAGTGGTCCAACATGCACCATTTATGCTGCCACACCTGTTAGATTCTTGTGGATTTTGTTGACTCCCATCTCTCAATGTTCATTTTTTAGAGAAGAGGGGACTCTCATTTTGTGTGGTCAATTACACGTGCATCAACCTCCTTGAACCTAAAAGTGATCCAAGAATAAGGTTTGTGGGTCACGGAGGCCTAATGCCCTACTTCATTTTCCAACAGTAAAAAGACAATTCTGCCATTTTCCTGTTAGGTGAGGTTACTTTGGAATTTTGATATGCAAAATGTAATTACATGGGACTGTAGCAGTCGAGAACTGAGCTGCTTTGTTTAGATAGTTGATTTTTTGGGTAATCATAAATTTTACTACATTTTACCAAAAGGAAGGTCATTTTTGAGAATGAAAATTTTTTGGATTTTTATGACAATGTAAATTACAATCTTATATAACATTATTACTATATGGTATTATCATTTTGATAATATAAACTAAACCAAACAAGCAAAATGAAACCTTAGATCGATTCTTCAAGGTTGTAGAGGTTGAAACTCCATAACTTCAAAATTGTGAGTTTGACCATTGCAAATAGTGGACTTTTTTTTCTAATTGTGTATTGTATTTACATAATTAAAGAGAATATTGAATATCTATCTAGACTCTAAAAAATTAGTCTTAATTTAATATTCATTATCTTTTAATAAATATTTTTAAAAATTATTTTCTAGATTTAATATTAAATTCATAACAATCTATAAAGACAATGATTGGTATATCTTTTGATTTAACACACTTTACAATATATTTATTAATAAATTGTTATTTTTAAATGCGAATTTAAGGTGGAAAAAATTTCAACTACAAAATTTAATAGCTAAATTAGTAAGTGTTATTAAATGTGTTAAATTAAATAATATACCAATCATTTTCCTATCTACAATCATTTTATTAGTAAATTATATTTTCTAATTTATATTTAATGGTATTAAATTTTATATAATTAATGAATTAGTTAGATATACTCAATCAATTTAAAAATCAACATATATAATTTATTTGAATAAAATATTAAATACAACAGTTAATTTTTAAAAATATTTATTAAATAATGATATTTTCAATTAAAATTAAAATTTTTTATTTTTAAAAAAATTAAAACTGATGTACATTTTTTCACAATTAAATTTGTGGTATACATATGTTGTCTTTGTATTTGTCTTATACAAAAGAAAAACTAACAAGACTTTGATAACATTAATGCATAATCTATTAACAAGATGAGAAAAAAAAAAAAATACAAAATTTGGAGAGAATCCCCATGATCCATTATCCTGAATTTTGGAGCATTTGAGTGAGTATATATAAAAAGGCACACAAGATCTCTTATTGGAAAAACACAAAAGCAAGTTGAGGCCAAAAAAAAATAATTTTTCTAGATGCATGATACACATCTAACCACACCAAATGGGTTAGCCTTAAGCTTAGCTTAATTTAGACCGAAGCAACAAATTAGAGATCCCACCCCAACTGCCCACTACCATGTCTGATGTGCTGCTATCATATAAGATTTAGCCATATATCTCAGCCTTGTCAACCAAATAATTTCTCTTTTATATGTCGATTTGTTTTGCTATAATATAATTAGAAATAGTATCTTTGTGAAAGGGACCATAAATAAATGATCATTTTGTGTGGCTGATAATTTTACATAGGCTTTCTACTTAGATCCTACTTTGAATTTTTTTAAGCATATGGGTGGATGTCCAAGAGGCTGCAGCATGAATTCGCAAATAGTTCAGCCGTTTTAAATTTTATTAAGTTGATCATTTTTATGAAAACCACTAATCAAATTAGTAATTGTCATCAAGTGATATTGTAGAAATAAAGTTGATTCAAACACAATATTTCTTTTATAATAATTACAGTATATTGTCAAAAAAAAAAATACAATATATTAAATAAATGAGTATATATTGATTCATATATTTTACTAGATGCGAGAGTCAATCATAATTATTACTATTAAAAATATATTTTACTAGATGAGAGAGTCAATCATAATTATTACTATTAAAATTAGAGTATAATATATATTTTCATATTAATTTAACATTTACAACCCTTTAATTAAAAGAATTTATTTATTTTTATATATATTTAATGATATTAAATTTTTTATAATCAATAAAGTAATTAGATCAATTAGAATAATTTAAAATTTAACATGTATAACTTTTATAAATAGAACTTTCAATTTAATAATTAGTTTTTAAAAATTTTAATTAAAAGATGAATTTTTAGACAAATTTTATTTTAAAAAAAAGTTACAAACACAACTTGTAAAATATTTTTCTCCTAAAATTATATTTAAGATTTTATTGTATATTTTATAAAATAATGATATTTACAACTAATTTTTAAGCTAAATTTTTGGTAACTGTCGATCATAACATTGGTCCCATATAAGCCCAAATGATCATTACTTGAAAAACATTTTGTATCAATATTTAGTGTCAACAATCGTTACTCTATTTTACGTGTAAAAAAAATAAAAATAAAAAAAACTAACGACATTGTAGATTTCAAAACATCTCCAAAATTAATTAGTAGCAATAGGTGTAAAAAGACTTGATATGTTTCTCAATATACATAAAATTATGTTGAGATAATAAGTTGATTAAAGCCAAGTCATTTTTCATATCATTTCTAGGAAAAGAAATTCGGATCCATGTTATTATGATAGATAGTGGACCACTTCTTCAGTCAACCTTTCCATATGGAGTAATTAAATATAGACCCATGTTAACAATGTGTTAGTTGAGAAGGGGGTAATATGGAACTTGCCTGAAATAAAAAAAATCATACTCTCTTTATTTATTTTTAATAAATTTAATTTAATTTTTTAACTTTTTATACATAAATTTTAAATAAAAATTTAATATATTATATAAATAATAATAATTA